TTTTAACCGGCAGTTGACTTCTGGCCTGAAACTACCATGACCCCATCGTTTATCATATTCTACCACTTTCACAGTACCCATCTTACCTTTTTCTCTACCTTTGTGTCTGTCTGTCTGCCTCCTTTACATCTGTGAATCGCTCTTCTGTTCCTCACCCCTCGACTTTCTTCTACTTTGATGTTTCTCCCCTCTGTGAAACCCGAAGTCAGCTAAATGGCTAATGATATCTATCAAAACGCCTGCCATTTGAAATAAATAAATAAATGTTCCTGTTGTTCGGATCAAATTTTAGTTACTACCATGTGATTAGGTTCACTCAATAGCACTATAATATTTAATTAGGAGGGAGTTTTCGTGGTGACTAGTAGCAGTCAGGTGGATGGGATTTGTGTGGGCATTTTGGCAACTTTAGTGCTCCCACCATACAAAAAAGGTGACTCATCTCTCCTCTCAGAAGCACAAGGAACACTCGTGCCTCGTTAATTTCCTTCATTTTTGGAATAGGCATGCACTCTTCCAATTTCATGCATCAAATCACATTTTTCCATCTATATTCACTAAATATTTTACCCACTAGTGTCCTTCTACTTAAAGTGCATTTCTATCTACATTGGCAAATAAGCCTTAATTAGCTGATATTTCCACCGTTAACTAGTCAGTTTAGTATAAGACCTTAAAACTTGGAAACTCCGAAATTTTTCTAGTAGAATGGTCTATTGTTTCCCTCACAAACTTTTCATATCATGGCTCTTCTCCACCTTAATTATCGGTGAGAGTTCGACATTCTTTAATTTCATTTCAAACCACTGTTTAGATAATGCCGTACGGTTGAGTGTCCAAAGTACTCCCAACCGTCTCTCTTATTTGTATTGTCACTCATAGAAGTGCCAATTGGGTCTAACATAACTAGTGGCTAAGTGGACCCCCTCCCCTTTGTCATCATCACCTAGAGAGATCATGTGCTGATTAATACTGACGAATAACATTACCAGAATGCAACTGAAAGTAGAAATTATAAGCCCAGAGTTCATCATTATTTTCGAAAATATTTAGACCACGAAGCATAGAAATGTTTCGACAAAAGCAACTTCGATCGAACTACATCTCTCTTTGAGTATTATGAGTGAAACGCCTAAAGTCATGAGTACTTACCAACAATACCGCGCACTAAACCTTCTCCAGATGCAAGCACCAGACCAGGGTCGCTAAAATCATCTTGACCAACAATGACTCGGAAGGGGCTTCCAGGAATTGGTCGTTCATCCAGTAGCACATGAACCAGATGTGGTCCATTCTCCTGTGGAGTGAATCTCACGGCATTTTGATCGATATCGACTGGATGAACTACTGCGGGTTCTTCACGTCCCGAGGGCGTCACCACGTAGGCCCTCAATCGTCCGCGGGCGCCGGTATAATTCACCGTGAACGCCATCGGCACTCCGATCTATAAGGAGAGACATTAGAATTATCTCTGTCCAGAGGTATGTACATTTTGGAGATAATATTTATCACCAAGTGCGCATTTTTATTTCCAACGGAAGAGGCTTCCTTCTTGGGTTTGACTAGTCTGTAATTATGTCCCCTCCAACTCCAACTCTCCCTCTCTCTCTCTCTCTCACCCTCCCTCTGTACTGCATCTCAGAGAAATTTCCCTAGCATTATGCCTCCTTCCACTTTTACGACTTGCAGGCAATAAAAACAGCCACAGAAATCCACTGAGCACATTTTCTCGCACCCTTCACTCCAAACTTTCCCTTTTCAACTGTCGCATTTATTATTAGTAGCGGTATTATTATTATTATTATTATTATTATTATTATTTGAGGTCAAGAGGAAGGTAATTTCTAACGCTTTACCACCACAAATCTGCTCCGCTGTATAGCATTACTAGAGTTATTATGAAAACTTTGCAATGTTCTGTCTTCCATTTGGAGACAGTTTTGCAAGTTACGGATTCCTCCTCAATTCAAGATATTGCCGTGGATTTTTTTGGTCATTGCGCTCAAAACTGGATGTCTTGTTGTCGGTCGCCACTTTCATTAATCATCCGGCATTCTGCTCAATAGGACTGAAAGAGAACTGCCCATTGAAAATAAGCTCATCTCGGTGCCGCAAAATATCATTTTTTTATGACGTTTGAGCTTCAATTAATGTCGTGGGCCATTCTTGGTAGAGTTCGATATAGCTCATGCCAATGAACAGGGGTTAAACTGATTTTAATTGATCGAAATGGGGTGTGCCATTACCTCCACATGGTGCACCCTGGGCAAAAAGTCTATTAATTGGCAGTTGACTCCTAAATTCAAACTACCATGACACAACTGTGTGTCATATTCAGCACATTCAACGGTATTCACCTTAGCCTTTCTCTGTCTTTGTGTTTTTCCGTCTCTGTCATATCTGTGAATCATTATTCTGTCCTATCTGCATTTTGCCACTTTGACGTGTCTCCTCCTCTCTGTGAAGCCCAAGGTCAGCTAAAGGGATAATGATAGCTATCAAGACGCCTGCCATTTGAAATAAATAAATTTATCGAAATTATTCAAATATTCAATAAAGTGATTGGTCAACACGCTCTGAGTATCATGGACATGCAGTTAATCGGTAAATCAAATATCACTTAGTTAAATTTGAAATTTGAAGCAAAACAGAGAAAATAGGAACTTGGCAATAGTGCGCTATACAACTCCATATGAAAGCGAGTAGTTCACCGCATCCAATAAAATCAATTACTACCCCGATACTCTACGCGCTTATTTTGTTTCCAAATCAAAAGGCAAATTGCTAGCATTGTTGGCTATTGGTGATGCAAAAAAAACCATTTCTATCACCCAAATTCTTGATTTTGGAGATTAAATCCGTTTCAGAGGAAAGAGACAAGGGATTGTGCATTCTTGTAGTGAAGGGGGGGGGCGGAGGGTTGTGGGGAGGGCCACTAATTTAGAAGGGAAATCTCTCTCTCTCTCTCTTCCAAGAATACAATCGGCATCAGCATAGGCAGATCTTTATTACATGCAAGAGTGATGTATGTGCCTGGGCTTTTAGTTGCTTTCTTTCTCTCCCCCTCTCCCCCACCCCCATCACCCCACCAATGCTTTTAAGTCGCTGGTCCAAATCACTGAATCATGCACAAAGCAGCAGCATCATCATCAGCAGCAGCAGTAGTAGAAACCCCGCCTCATCATTTAAATTTGCGACTACTTAAATTGCCAAACTCAGATCCATATATAAAATCCTACAATCCCTCTCCCCC